GTATGGTCAATATACACTCGTCAACTGCGTGTTACTGTCTCATAAACACCAACTGCAGCTGTAGTTAACAAATACAGTCGTTAGATATACAATGGTTTATATTAATTACAAGTGTCTGTCTGTTTCTGTTTCTCTGTCTGTCTTTCTGTTTTTTCCTTTCTGTTTGTTTATATATATATATATATATATATATATATATATATATATATATATATATATATATATATATTTTAGTCCATATAACACGCGGACTTGTGCTAGCTGATAGCGTTCCTAGTCACACCAGTAGGTCGAGGTTCATTCCTTGCTGGTGTCGGATTATATTATTATATATATATATATATATATATATATATTTTTTTATATATCTCCACTGCTCTCCCTACTCACTCCCTACACTTCCTCCCTACCCTCTCCTCCTCTCTCTCCCCCCTCCCCGCCCTCTCTCCCCGCCCCTCTCTCTCCCCCTCCCCCGCCCTCTCTCTCCCCACCTCCCCCGCCCCCTCTCACTTCCCCTCCCCCGCCCCTCTCTCTTTCCCCTCCCCCCTCCCCTCTCTCTTCCCCTCCCCCGCCCTCTCCCCTCCCCTCCCCTCCTCTCCCCTCCCCTCTCCCCTCTCTCTCCCCCTCCCCCTCTCCCTCTCTCTCCCCCCTCCCCCCACCCTCTCTCCCCCCTCCCCCCCTCCCTCTCTTTCCCCCCTCCCCTCCCTCTCTCTCTTTCCCTCCCCCCCCCCTCTCTCTCCCCCCCTCCCCCACCCTCTCTCTCCCCCTCCCCCCACCCTCTCTCTTCCCTCCCCCTGCCCTCTCTCTCCCCCTCCCCCCCCCCTCTCTCTCCCCTCCCCCACGCCCTCTCTCTCCCCCTCCCTCGCCCTCTCTCTCCCCCTCCCCCCGCCATCTCTCCCCCTCCCCGCCGCCCTCTCTCTCCCTCCCCCCGCCCCTCTCTCTCCCCCCCTCCCCCCGCCCCCTCTCTCCCCCCTCCCCCGCCCCTCTCTCTCCCCTCCCCCCGCCCCTCTCTCTCCCCCTCCCCCTCGCCCCTCTCTCTCCCCCCTCCCCCCCCCCCCCTCTCTCTCCCCCTCCCCTCGCCCCTCTCTCCCCCTCCCCCACCCTCTCTCTCCCCCCTCCCCGCCCCCTCTCTCTCCCTCCCCCCGCCCCCTCTCTCCCCCCTCCCCCCGCCCCTCTCTCTCCCCTCCCCCCGCCCTCTCTCTCCCCCTCCCCCCGCCCTCTCTCTCCCCCTCCCCCCGCCCCTCTCTCCCCTCCCCTCCCCTCTCTCCCCCTCCCCCCACCCTCTCTCTCCCCCTCCCCTCGCCCTCTCTCCCCTCCCCGCCCCTCTCTCTCCCCTCCCCTCGCCCCTCTCTCTCCCCTCCCCGCCCTCTCTCTCCCCTCCCCCGCCCTCTCTCCCCCTCCCCGCCCCTCTCTCCCCCTCCCCCCCCCGCCCTCTCTCTCCCCCCTCCCCCGCCCTCTCTCTCTCCCCTCCCCTGCCCCTCTCCTCCCCCCCTCCCCCCGCCCCCTCTTTCCTCTCCCCCCTCCCCCCCCCCCCCTCTCTCTCCCACCCCATGTATATATTAAATATTAACCAATGACTTATCTCTCACTATATCATTAGTATTTACTGTGGCCTTTAAAGCTCTGAACAATACTACTGGTCGGTGTGTAGCTAGTGTCCTTCCTCAGTAATGGCTCTATACCCTGATGCATCGTCTATTGTCTGTCTGTTTCTGTCTGTTTGGGTGTGTGTCTGTGTGTCTGTTTCTGTTTGGGTGTGTGTCTGTGTGTCTGTTTCTGTCTGTTTGGGTGTGTGTCTGTGTGTCTGTTTCTGTCTGTTTGGGTGTGTGTCTGTGTGTGTTTCTGTCTGTTTGGGTGTGTGTCTGTGTGTCTGTTTCTGTCTGTTTGGGTGTGTGTCTGTGTGTCTGTTTCTGTCTGTTTGGGTGTGTGTCTGTGTGTCTGTTTCTGTCTGTTTGGGTGTGTGTCTGTGTGTCTGTTTCTGTCTGTTTGGGTGTGTGTCTGTGTGTCTGTTTCTGTCTGTTTGGGTGTGTCTGTGTGTCTGTTTCTGTCTGTTTCTTTTGTTTGTCTGTCTGTTTCTGTCTGTTTGGGTGTGTGTCTGTGTCTGTTTCTGTCTGTTTGGGTGTGTGTCTGTGTCTGTTTCTTCTGTTTGGGTGTGTGTCTGTGTCTGTTTCTGTCTGTTTGGGTGTGTGTCTGTGTCTGTTTCTGTCTGTTTGGGTGTGTGTCTGTGTGTCTGTTTCTGTCTGTTTGGGTGTGTGTCTGTGTGTCTGTTTCTGTCTGTTTGGGTGTGTGTCTGTGTGTCTGTTTCTGTCTGGGTGTGTGTCTGTGTGTCTGTTTCTGTCTGTTTGGGTGTGTGTCTGTGTGTCTGTTTCTGTCTGTTTCTTTTGTTGTCTGTCTGTTTCTGTCTGTTTGGGTGTGTGTCTGTGTGTGTTTCTGTCTGTTTGGGTGTGTGTCTGTGTCTGTTTCTGTCTGTTTCTTTTTTGTTTGTCTGTCTGTTTCTGTCTGTTTGGGTGTGTGTCTGTGTGTCTGTTTCTGTCTGTTTGGGTGTGTGTCTGTGTGTCTGTTTCTGTCTGTTTGGGTGTGTGTCTGTGTGTGTGTTTTGGTCTGTTTGTTTTTGTTTGTCTGTCTGTTTCTGCCTGTGTGTGTTTGTTTATCTGTTTGACTCTCTCTTTCCAATGAGCCGTTTGTTTTCATTTTGCGTCTCTCTCTCTTCTCTCTACTCTCTCTCTCTCTCTCTCTCTCTCTCTCTCGTTCAGCCAACAACAACAACAACATCGAACAATAACAATAACAATATCATCAATAACACCAATAACAATAACTTTATAGATAAGCGAATAGTCAAGGTGGTGGGGGGGTGAAAGTGAGAGAGTGAAGAGATGAGGAGGAGTGAAGAGATGAGAGGGTGGGCTTTGTGTAGAAAATATTGCTTTAGTTGCTGGATCTGAGTTACAGTTTCTCGTCCCATTGATGTTGCAACACTATACAGTACACTACCACTTCCTCCTCCTCTTCTTCCTCCTCTTCCTCCTCTTCTTCTTCTTCCTCTTCTTCCTCTTCCTTCTCTTCTTCCTCTTCCTCCTCTTCTTCTTCCTCTTCCTCTTCTTCCCCCTCCTCTTCTTCTTCCTCCTCTTCTTCCTCTTCCTCCTCTTCCTCCTCCTCTTACTCCTCTTTTTTTCTCGCTCTCCCTCTTTCTCTCACCTGCTGTTCCCTTAATTTTTTCTCATTTGTTCAATATATTTTTTTTTCTACCTACCACCACCACCACAACCACCACCATCACTACCACCATCACCACCATCCTTCTGCCACAGCACCATAACCACCACCATCCACTACACCACCACCCACTACCACCACCACCCACTACCCACAACAACCCACCACCACAACAACCACCACCACTACCAGCTCTACCAACACCACCACCACCACCACCATCACTACCACCATCACCACCATCACCACCATCACCACCACAACAACCACCACCACTACCAGCTCTACAACACCACTACCACCCACAACCACCACCACATCACTACCGCCATACCACCATCACCACCACCATCACTACCACAACCACCACCACCACCAGCTCTACCAACACCACTACTACCACCAGTAGTAACGCAGCAGGGAGGAGGACCTTCTTTGCTCCTTCGTCAGAGATGCTCATCAACCAATTCTTCCCTTCAGCAGGATATTCTTACCTTCAAGGATATCTCAGCCACCACCAACCATCCCCCCACACACCCCCTCCCCACCCCCCACACCTCCCCACCCCCACACCCCTCCCCTCACCCCCCCATCTCCCCACCCCCACACCTCCCCACCCCCCACCTCCCTCCCCACCCCCACACCTCCCACCCCCACCTCCCCACCCCCCCACCTCCCCACCCCTCATCTCCCCTCCCCACACCTACCCACCCCCCACCTCCCCACCCCCCCCTCCCTCCCTCTCCCCCACCCCTCCACACCTTCCCTCACCCCTCCACCTCCCTACCCCCCCACACACCCCTCCCCACCCCTCCACCTCCCCACCCCCATACCTCCCCACCCCCACATCCCTCCCCACCTTTGTAAGCCCCCATCCCCAGGAGCTGCCACCGTCACACACCCTGTCCAAATAAATGTCTGTCCGTGCGGTGCATTTAAACGACGCCACCAACACCTCCAGTTAGCTCAGTTTGTCGTGGTTAGTAATTATTTGTATTCCTGGCGTTCCTTGGGCAAAGTTTAGACGCGTTGGTAACTGTTGGTGGAATGACCGCGTCTCACTCACTCGTGGCTTCCCCACCTATAACCACGCTCTCTTTCTTCTTTCTTTCTTCTTTCTTCTTCTATCTCTTGTTCCTTCTCATACATAATTACGCTTTCGTCTTCATTCTCTTCTTTCTTCTCACTTATAACCACGTTTCGTTCTTTCCTTTTTTCTGTTCTTTTTCCTCCTCACTAATAACCATCCTTCCTTCTTCTCTTCTCTTCTCTTCTCTTCTCTTCTCTTCTCTTCTCTTCTCTTCTCACTCATAACCACATCTCCTCCCACCACCACCACCACCACCACTACCACCACCTCTCCCTACACTATAATAACAAAGGCTATTAACTAAATTTCCTACATATAACATTACCTCCTTTCATAGACCCTCAACTACAAGTAAATAACACCTCTTAATTACTCCTTTCTTTTCAGACACCTTACCTGTAAATAACATCTCTTTATTACCTTTTCAGACACCTTACTTGTAAATAACACCTCTTAATTACCCCTTTCTTTTCAGACACCTTACCTGTAAATAACACCTCGTAATTACCTTTTTCAGACACCTTACTTGTAAATAACACCTCTTAATTACCCCTTTCTTTTCAGACACCTTACCTGTAAATAACATCTCTTAATTACCTTTTCAGACACCTTACCTGTAAATAACACCTCTTAATTACCCCTTTCTTTTCAGACACCTTACCTGTAAATAACACGTCTTAATTACCTTTTTCAGACACCTTACCTGTGCTCAAGTACCAGTTCATCGAGCAGACCTTACAGCCTGGGCCTTCTGTGAGCCTCAAGTGTATAGCATCAGGTAGTCCCACGCCCTCTGTTAGCTGGACTCTGGATGGCTTCCCCGTCAAACATTCGGACAGGTAAGAGAGAAGGGGTGATGGTGGGAGAGAGGGGGGTGGGAGAGAGAGGGGGTGGGAAAGAGATGGGAGAGTGAGAGAGAGATAGAGAGAGGGATGGGTGGGAGAGAGAGAGAGAAACAGGGGGTGGTAGAGAGAGAGAGAAAGGGGGGGAGAGAGAGAGTAAGAGGCAGAGAGAGAGGTAAAAGTGAGCTAATTTGATGAATAATTAATTAGATAAATAGATGAATAAACCAGTGAATCATATGAATAAATGACTAAATTAGATAAAAAACAAATAAACAAATAAGAAAAACCCTTAAAAATCCAATTTGAAACAAGATTATAGTAAAACAAATTATGTACACTAAAATATTATACAATATTCTACACCAATGACCTAACCTAACCTAACCTAACCTAACCTAACCTAACCTAACCTAATCTAACCTAACCTAACCTAATCTAACCTAATCTAACCTAACCTAACCTAACCTAACCTAACCTAACCTAACCTAACCTAACCTAACCTAAACTAACCTAACCTAACCTCGTAAGATTATAAAGAGACGTATATAAATTTGAAGGTGTGACAGGTGATAGTGACCCTTATTGTGGTAGTGTATTAGGGTGAAAGTCGTTTATCCTCACTTATCTTACTAATGATGGCTTCTTCCTCCCCCTCCTCCTCCTCTCCTCCTTAACCACTCAACTCTCCCCCCTCTCCCCCCCTCTCTTCGTCCTTCCGTCCCTTCCTTCCTCTTTGTTGCCATATTTCTACCCATCACTTTTTTATCTTATATCTACCTATTCTGTTCAGTCTTGTCCCCCCCCCTCAGGTTGATGTTAGACAGTACGTCAGTGTAGATGGTGACGTCATCTCACGCGTCAATGTTACCAACGTGGCGGCAGTGGATTTGGAGGCCTTTATCGCTGCACTGCTACCAACGCCGTGGGTAATGTTGACCATGCCGCCCGCCTCAACGTCTACGGTGAGTGGGAGAGGGGGTGAGGGGAGAGGGGTAGAGTGGGATTAAGACATGAAAAGGTGGGGTAATAAGGAAGGAAGAAGGTATACATAAGGAGAGGTAGAAGAGGAGGGTGAGAAGGAGGGGATAAAAAAAGAGGGGGGGGGAGGAGGAGGATAATTTCGACGAGGAGAAAGGGAAGAGAAAGAGTCGAGGAAGGAAGAAGACGACATGAAAGAGAAGGAAATAAAGAAGAGAGAGATGGGGGAGAGGAAAGAGGTGGAGGCAGAGGAGGATGAAAACAAGGTGAAGAGACAGAGGAGAGGGAGAATAGTAGAAGGGAAAAAGAAGAGGAGGAGTAAGAGGAAGAGGAGGAGAGGACACAAGGGGCTCTCCCAACTCCAGAAACTAAAAAAATAACCCTCATTATTTCACTAACATAACAATGGCGGCCTCATGACTAACTAGAAAAAAAAATGGGTCACATATTTCACTCAACCACAGAAAATGGGATTCTTATATTCCTTTCACTCATAGTAAGTGGGTTTCATGCCTACAACAGCATTAGATAATTGGGTATCTTACCTTTGGAAACTACAGAACATGGGGTCTTGCTCTTCCATCACATGTAGAAAACAACTGTCCAACTTTATCACAGAAAATGGTATCCCCTTCACTGTCACCCATCACAGAAAACGGACATCTCTTCATCACCACCCATCACAGAAAACGGACACCTCTTCACTGTCACCCATCACAGAAAACGGCCACCTCTTCACTGCCACCCATCACAGAAAACGGACACCTCTTCACCACCACCCATCACAGAAAACGGACATCTCTTCACTGTCACCCATCACAGAAAACGGACACCTCTTCATCAGCACCCATCACAGAATACGGACACCTCTTCATCACCACCATCACAGAAAACGGACACCTCATCACCACCCATCACAGAAAACGGACACATCAGCACCCATCACAGAAAACGGACACCTCTTCATCAGCACCATCACAGAATACGGACACCTCTTCATCACCACACCTCACAGAAAACGGACACCTTCTTCATCAGCACCACATCACAGAAAACGGACACCTCTTCATCAGCACCCATCACAGAATACGGACACCTCTTCATCACCACCCATCACAGAAAACGGACACCTCTTCATCAGCACCCATCACAGAAAACGGCCACCTCTTCATCAGCACCCATCACAGAAAACGGACACCTCTTCATCACCACCCATCACAGAAAACGGACACCTCTTCATCACCACATCACAGAAAACGGACACCTCTTCATCAGCACCCATCACAGAATACGGACACCTCTTCATCACCACCCTAAAACGGACATCTCTTCATCACCACCCATCACAGAAAACGGACACCTCTTCACTGTCACCCATCACAGAAAACGGCCACCTCTTCACTGCCACCCATCACAGAAAACGGACACCTCTTCACCACCACCCATCACAGAAAACGGACATCTCTTCATCACCACCCATCACAGAAAACGGACACCTCTTCACTGTCACCCATCACAGAAAACGGCCACCTCTTCACTGCCACCCATCACAGAAAACGGACACCTCTTCACCACCACCCATCACAGAAAACGGACATCTCTTCACTGTCACCCATCACAGAAAACGGACACCTCTTCACTGTCACCCATCACAGAAAACGGCCACCTCTTCACTACCACCCATCACAGAATATGGCCACCTCTTCAATACCACCCATCACAGAATACGGACACCTCTTCACTGTCACCCATCACAGAAAACGGGGACATGCCGACTCTCCCTTCAACAACAGGACGCCAGTGTGGAAACCTTGCGGCCACAACCCAGCCCGCGCCCCAATCAGACACGGAATTGAATTTTCCACGACTAATTTCCAGATTCTCGTTCCTTCCTGATTATACCATACCAGGCGAGGGAAGGCATTGCTGCGGCCATATTGATTAGCCTCAGCCCGTTTGTAGGTCCTGGAGGGAGGGAGGGAGACAGGGAGGGAGGGAGACAGGGAGGGCGGGTGATAGGTAGGTAGGGAGGGTATATAAGGTAATTTGTGGATTTTTATTACGGTTTGATGAGGTGATAGGGAGGAGGGGGGAATTGGGACGGTGGTGGTGTGGGATGAAGGGAGAAAGTGTTGGTGTTGGAGAGAGAGAGAGAGAGAGAGAGAGAGAGAGAGAGAGAGAGAGAGAGAGAGAGACAACTGCAAGGGGATGAAGTTTGTTATTTTCTCTCTTATTTTTCTCAACATATTTATATCTTTCTCTTTCCCTCTCTGTCATCTCTCTCTATTATTTCCTTGTCTCCTTCTCTCTCTCTAAACTTCATTTGGTGTGTGTGTGTGTGTGTGTGTGTGTGTGTGTGTGGTGAGAGCAGATACATAAAAGAAGGGAAGGATAAGGGAGGCTAAAAATTGGAGGTTAAAACACACACACACACACACACACACACACACACACACAGACACACACACACACACAGACAAGACATCAGGTTCATGCGAGTGTCTGGACAAAACAGGAACTTTACCGGAAACAAACACGCCTCCAAACTTTGCATAAACATGAACAATTGGCCTCAAGTTCCATCAAATTAGCCATAACACGAGTTCTGTTTAAGACACAACCACCCTGACTATAGGTGTTCCTGTGGTAGTGTTTTCCTGTAAGAGGGAGGGTGTGTTAAATGATCATTCTTCGTGACTGGTGGATATTTTCGTGTTTTATCGTTTTTTTTTTTTTCATCGAGTTTTTGTTAATGTCACTTTCTTATACTCTTTAACGTGATGTTATTTGGTCACTGAACGATCGGTTGTGAGTTTTGCATTCGTGGGATTTGTGTTAGTATTGGAACACGTCTTGGGGGCAACAACAGCGAACTCACGAGGATATCAAAACAGTCTTTGAAAAATAACTCGTATTATTATGAGTCTTGAAGCAGGTGTCAAGTATATCGTATTCTAGTATATTTAAGTATATATATTGTATGTAATTCCTTAATTATTCTTGATATTCATTAAAACAAAATTCAAAGTTACTGCAATCAAATCAAAGTCACAACAACAGGTAAATACAACAACAAAAACACAGCTTCATTGACGTAGATGTTAATTACTGAAGGTTTGTGTTGCTCAGGTGTGCCGGTGGTTCGACCAATGGGAGACATCAGCGCCGTGGCCGGGGAGAGGCTAGTACTCACCTGTCCTGTGGGAGGCTACCCCATACACTCTCGTACCTGGTTCAAAGGTTAGTAATCACCATTCCTCTTCTTGTCTGACCTAATCTTCTTGTTTGACCTAATTCTAGTATAGTAAATCACCTGTAAGACTTAATAAGTTTACTCTTGCTTGTAACTGTATAATAGGTATGTTATTTTCATCCACTTTGGAGTTTATTTACAAGTTTATACTAGAGGTGTGATATTGTATCATTAACTCCCCCAACTACGTCACAACTCTTCCCTCGTCAGAATCACAGGTAAACACAACAGTAAATACACCAACTCAGTATTTTTTTCATGTTTTTCTTTCTTCACCTTCAAGTTTCTCATCTTTCATCATACTGAGAAGAATATACTTGTGTACTGAGACATTAATGGAGACTACATATATTTACTGTACATTTTAGACTGATTTAACATAATATTGGACATAAGTTAAAGTTTGTGGAGGAGGAAGAAGCAGGTCGTCTGAGAGGGTACAAAATGCAAACAACTGCAAGATTTAATCAAAACCAGAAATGCAATGTTTACAATTTAGCGAGAGTGAGGACTACATAAGACGACGTGTAGGAGTGAATAATGACAACGTGATTATACATTTATTCACTCACACACACACACCCACACACACACCCACACCCACACACACACACACCCACACACAGAGTCGTCTTCCTTAAGGCAGTAAACGTATTTGTGGTTCAGTAAAGGACATGCATCTCTCTCCCTCTCTCTCTTCTACATATTTAATGATGCAACAGACCCAACAGCCAAGAGCTCCGGCGAGTGTATGTGTGTTGACTTAAAGGAGAAGGTTGTTCTGACCACTACTACTACTACTACCCTTACTTTTTTTTTCTTTTCTTTTTTATATAACGTGGCCTCCAGCCTCCCCCAATAGCCACACCTTCGCCACCATTTAATTACCTTAATATTAAATATCCTAATACATAAGTAGCTATCCTATCTGTGTTGAATTAGTTGAGCCGCAGATCTATGCCGCATTCAGTGACTGTAGCCTCATAGTCAATATCTGCAGCAGTTGTCGGAATTGGGGCAGAAGCTCTCGTTCCCCTGAGGCAGAGCAAAGCCGACCGAAGGAGAGAGAAAGACAGTCGACATGTCATCCAGGCTGCAACATAACTTCTGGGCTGCTGCTTCTGTTCGGAGATCAACTCCGCGAGTCTGGCATAGAAACATCTTGCACTTGGGCCCATCCCACCAGAGGTTGTGAACACTACAGGAGTGAAGCTGCCTTGATCAACGTTTTGAATTCTCTCCCCATATGCCCTTCTCTTGTCGTTCTCGTTCCTCCTATGTACATCATCGAGAGCTAGGTTACGGTGACATGCAGCCATGGGATCAAAAATCCTGATGTCGAAGAAAGCTCGCTGTCCTCGCGTCCAGAATCCTCGAGCACTGACGTCAACACGGGCTTCGTTAGATGTGTTTAAAGTCCTATGTTGGAAGATCTCACCATCCAATGGAAGGAGGGTCGGTTCTACCATGACATCCCTGCAGATTTCCTTCAACATATTTGCTGTAAGGTCCCTTACCTCGTCATGCCTCATGCATATGAAGCCCCCTTTCTTGCACACCATGGCGTGATCGCCGTCATAGGAAGAGCCACACACGCATTGGGAGGGCAAACCTTCTACTGGCCGACCGTACCTTAGAGCAATGGCATCTGTAAATTCTTGTTTGTTAAGACTGAAACCATTTGCCCTTATCGGGAACGTAGTTAACCAGTTCGAGGCGCCCACCTCCTGCGCTATAGCTACTTTTTTTTTCAAATTTTCTGGAACCTGCAGCAACAGTTGCTGCAACTTACTACTACTACTGCTACTACTATTACTGATAATAATAATAATAATAATAATAAATGCATCTTCAAACCACTTAACAATTTACACCCCTAAATTATCTCTTCTTTACCATAGAGGAAACATATAGCCAGGACCTATTATACACGTGATCACTTATTCCTATGTCTCCTGCAGAAGGCGCCCAGCTACCAGTGAGTCGTCGTCAGGTAGTACACCCAAACGGCTCCTTGGTGATAGATAATGTACAGAGGGTCACTGATGCTGGCACCTACTCCTGTACGGCTTCTGCCAGGCACGGTGACAAGAGTACGCAGGCCGTGCAAGTGAAGGTTCTAGGTACGTACGTCGAGACTGTTACTGTGTGTGTGTGTGTGTGTGTGTGTGTTCTGTAAGTATATGAATGTGTATATAGGAATGTTTCACTACGTATGTGTAGAATGTGAAAGTACAATACATGCTTATATTCAGTTTGTGTAAATGTGTATGTCTGTCAATGTAAAAAGTACTGTATGTGTGTGTGTGTGTATTAGTGTATGTACGTATAATTTCATAAATAATCTTAACTAACAATTATCTTGTAACTTTAAGTGTATTAGTCTATTTATCAGGTAATTCTAATTATTTTTTTATTTCTGCCCATTTAATTATCTCACCTGTGTTCACCTTTTCAGTCAAATTATTAGAAGGGAATATTTTTATCATTATATTAACTACTAATTTTTAACTTCAGGTGATGCCTCAGGTGTAAACAATGACGTCACCTCTGGAGTATTGTTTATGTTAATCTTTTTTGTTTACATTGGTGACGTCATTGGACCCACACGCAGGTTATTGTTTTGGTCAGTTATATTATGTTTATTACTTACATGATACATTATAAGTTGTGTAAGTATAGTATAGTAGGTAGCTTGAGTTAAGTGTGTACCTATTAGAGTATATATTAGGTATAATGTAACCAGTATATAACTAAAGAATGTGTACACGGTAGGCAGTTAGTGTGTGGAGGTGCAAGGCAGGATACAGACGCGCACACATTAAGCAGTGTACAGCTTATGGACTTGTTTACATTAGGAAGTGTGTAGACATGTTGATAAGTATATACAAACTACACAGTCAGCAGCCATAAGGGAGTGTATGAGGCAGTGTAGTTAGTGTAGACAGTAGGTGGTTGTCATAATGGCTGGTGAGCTGACGTGAGGTGTGCATAGTGCCGCCTCGTATTCTGCCCTTCAACAAAGACCACCAGTTGTCTGAGGGGAACCGCCTGACGCTGACGTGTGCGGTGACGGAGGGGGACCTGCCGCTCACCATCACCTGGTACAAGGACGGTGAGAAGCTGGAGGGCCGTGACCACACCACCCAGCACTCCTGGGATGACTTTAACAGTCACCTGGCCATCGCCCACGTCCTCCCCCACCACGCTGGGAACTACACCTGCAGCGCCACCAACCGTGCCGCCACCGACCAACAGACAGCAGCGCTCTTCGTCAATGGTAAAAGTCCCCCTGAGTGTGTCCCCACTAACCTTACTTTTCGTTCCAGTGCCACCCAGGATAGGACCTTTTACCTTCCGGGAGAACGCAGCCGCCGGCATCCGTGTTTCGGTGAGTTGCAGTCTCGAGCAGGGCGACTTACCAGTCACTATCCGCTGGCTAAAAGACGGCGAGTTGCTCACCTCTGACCCCCAGGGCGCCCTCGACCCCCACAGGCAGGGGTCACTGGCTCGCCTGGGTCTGAAGGTCCGCTTCCTGGATGCCTACTCGAGCCAGCTGGTGATCCCCAACCTGAGCGCCGCCCACGCTGGCAACTACACCTGCCAGGCGACCAATGCCGCCCGCACCGTCACCTACACCGCCCCTCTCACAGTCAGCGGTAACGTAGCCTACGCCCACGAGCCGCACCATCACACCCGCACCTGCACCGTCACACGCCCGTTGTGCTGCTGGCACCCACTGCATGGTGCCGTAGGGGTAGTGACGCCGCCGCCGCACCGCACTGCACCGTAGTAGTTGCTTGTCCACGCACCGGCCACACCGCCACCACCGCACACCACACCATCACGCACGGCACCACAGCACACACACATCACCACGTACGGCACGCTGCACCCCCCATGACAGTAACTAGTGATAGAGTAAAGGATATAATTATACACCTCTGGTCTCTTGATCTGTGAGTCGCCATAGACCTAAACCCTCCTGAAGAACACTGACGACTCACACCATCAAGCTGAGGCTGTCAACAGTGATTGTATGAATTGTTTTATATTGTAAAGAAGTGTTGAGTAAATAATGTATTTTCCTAGACTAAGGTTGATTTACAGTTTTGAGAAATTTGGGGAAACTTAAACTCAGGGTTAATGACTGATAGATGGCTGGTCAAATGGCCGCCAGCTCTAGTAGCTCTAATGAGTCTCAGTCTTCATGGTTTGGTTAGGCTTAAGACTTGTTAGGAATGGAACCAATTTGACCTTCAACCCTTAACCCTGACCCCACAAGGGCAATAAGGGCGTGCAGCGTGACCTGACCCACCCATACCGCATCCTCACCATCCCTCCACAGGTCACTCAGAACTGGGTGACCTCTCTTGAAGGCTTTATTGGCCAATACTATCATGATGATGATGATAACGATGATGATGATGATGATGAAGAGCGTACAGTAAGTCGTGTCTGCCGCCCGTACCTACATAACTTTGTCTGGCACTATCCGCTTTGGAGCTTGTACAGTATACAGTATATTTGTCCTCAACCATCTCGTAGCTTTTGACTAACTCTCTCCAGCTCTTATACGCTGTTCCTACCCTGAGCAGCGAGCACAGAGAGGCGCGGGGGGGTCATGGCACCAGCCCACCCCATCGTCTTGTTAATTCTCTTGGCATATAGAACAGCACTAACAGCACTAACAGCAGCAGCAGCACCAACAGTAGCAGCAGCACCAGCAGTAGCAGCAGTATCTCTCACGTCCACACACACACACACACACATATATATATATATATATATGTACTATCTCATTAGACTAACAAACTGCACAATAGATGGAACTGCTCCTTATGTACTGTATATATAGATCTAAAGTACTCTTCTTATCAGCACCTTTATTGATCACACGCACTCTGACCTATTTTTGCACCATAGGGTATTATTACCTCACCTTCATCCATCCATCATTAAACTTAAGTGATATTATAAATGTGTTTTAATCATAATAACAAGTGACTCTCATATCACACCTGGACGTAATTATCATCTTTTTACCTGTGGCCTTTTCTCCCATTTGAAAACAGTTTGAAGAAAAGATTTGGATATTTTTTGTTTCTTAATCAGTCATAGAGGAAGTAGACTGCCTGTATTATGTTGGTTTTATTTTTATCTCCCTCTCTGTCTATCTGTCTGTCTCTCTGTCTGTCTGTCTGTCTGTCTCTGTCTCTCTGGTTTTCCCCCTCATCACTACTGCAGAAACACCATACAAAATCACCACCATCCCCATATTAACCCATCACCACCACCATCACCACCATCACCACCACTATCACCCCACTAACCCATCACCACCATCACCACCACTATCACCCCACTAACCCACCATCATCACCATCACCACTATCACCCCACTATCCCACCATCACCACCATCACCACCACTATCACCCCACTAACTCACCATCACCACCACAGTTCCTCCACGCTGGGTGTCGGAGCCGGAGGACCAGAGTGTGCCCAGGGGAGGAAACGCCCTTATACACTGTCAGACAGAGGGCTTCCCACCACCCAAAGTCCTCTGGAGGAAGGCCCACGGTAAGCCACCACCTCCATAATCTAAAGTTAGGTTAGGTTAAGGTTAGGTAAGGTTAGGTTAGTTTTAGGTTAGGTTAGGTTAAGGTTAGGTTAGGTTAGGTTAGGTCATTTTGGGGGTAAAAAATAAATTAATAAACTTCACTACTGGGACCTCACTTTTAACATTTTATTTGGATAACGTCAGATGATTTTATTTACCCCCTACACTACACTACACTACACTACACTACACTACACTACACTACACTACACTGCACTAAACTACACTACACCCTGACCAAACCAGTGTTTATGTAATAGACTAACTAATTAATAATACCTGTTGTTCTACCTTGTGATCTTCTACAGGTACCTCTCCTGGGGTCTACCGTGACCTCCTGGGTACAAGCGGCGTCCAACAGCTAACCAACGGCTCGCTACTCTTGTCCCAGGTGACCAAGGACTCCGAGGGACGTTACCTGTGTGAAGCGACCAACGGTATAGGCGCAGGACTCAGCAAGGTCGTCCAGTTGTCTGTGAATGGTAAGAAGGATTTAAGGATAAGGATTCCTTTTGGGAGGATTCCCTTGGGGAGGGTTCCTTTTGGGTTCCTAGACCGCTTTTTTCATCTGTTTTTTCTTATTTTTTTTATTTCTTCCCTTATTCTTTCTTTCTTTGTTTACTTTATTTTGTGATTACTGTTTTTTTTTACGAAGAGTTTTATTCAGTTTAGGATTTGTGTAAAGTATATGAATATATGTATACTTCTTGAACACACACACACACACACACACACACACACACACACACTTATTATCCCAGGAAAGTGCACGGCCTCAAGGAGGTCGGCATCGGTCAGTGGTACTCCAAGGTAAAAGATCTCTGTGGTCTCAACCGTCAGTCTCCCACACTTCCTTTCATCTCACATTTACCTAGTGAGGAGGCAGCTGAGATAATTAATAACCATTTTACTACCATATGTCATACCTTACCCAGTCTTGACCTCACTCTCCTCCCAGCTTACTTACCTTCCCCCTCCCCCACTCCCAGTGTTCTACCATATGAAATCGCCAACAAACTCCTGAAATTTAAATCCAAACGCTCCACGACCCCAATTGACCTCCCAATCAAAATATACAAGGAGTTTGCAGTCAAACTTGCCACCCCCCTCTGTTCTATTATTAATGCATCCCTCAGACAAAGCAAATGCCCTAATGAATGGAAAACCGCATTTGTCACCCCCATCCCCAAGGTCACCACCCCACAGTCCCCTAACGACCTCAGGCCAGTTGCCATTACCCCCATACCCAGTCTACTTTGTGAGGACTTTGTTTTTGAGTGGGCATTTGCCAGTATCTATCAGTCAATTGATCCACAGCAATTTGGCAATATGAGGACCTCCTCTACATCACACTGCTTGGTGAGCTTTCTGGATTTTCTGCACAAAAACTTGCAGAAACGTAAGACATCACTGGCTGTTGCCCTTGTGGACTTCAGGAAGGCCTTTGACCTTGTTGATCACTGCACTGTTATCAACAAGGCTATTGCACTAGGGCTGCCCACCAACCTGGTCTCATGGCTCACTGATTTCTTGAGTGGACGTCGCCAAGCAGTGAGGTGTCAGGGCTTGGTCTCTACATTCCAACACTCCCTGCGGTTCCCCAGGGGACCAAGATGGACCATTGTGCTTCCTCATCCTGATCAACGACGCTCTATGGACACCTCACGGTGGAAGTACGTGGATGACTGCACTGTGGGGTTTGCGGAAGACACTGCACCAGACTACTCATCGCTCCAAGGCACCCTGACAGGCTACAGGCATGGACTACGGAGAACAAGCACCATCAACCACACCAAAAACCGTAGTCATGCACATTTCAAGCCACCACTCCAGTGCAAACCCCAGCAGTCACAGTGGGTCATCCTCTAGCTGGTAGTTTGCCAAACTCCTGGTGTAACTATAGACAACAAACTTGACTGGAAGGCCCATGTAAATAACACAGTTAAGGCAGCCTCGTACTGTCTCTACATGCTACGAAGACTTTGGTCACTTGGGGACACCCACGCCAGAGCTGAGACCATCTACAACGCCTTTATTCTCCCCAAACTAACGTATGCGTCACCAGCCTGGTCGTCTTCTCTCAACTCCACCCAACAACGTCAGCAGAGAAGGTACAGAAAAGGCCTGCAGAATCATGCTCGGCGCAGAATACTCCGGCACCAACGCTCTCTCCACCCTGGAAATGCCATCCTCAGTGACCTCCACCACCAAGCACTGGAAAGGTTTGGCCGTGGACTACTGCACCATCCTTGTCATCGCCACTCCCCTGCCACCTGCAGCCCCCACCAACTCTGCGCAGTCTGCCACTACAAAAGAATTCAGCCCATAAGAGCCTGCAATGATAGATATAAGAACAGCACCATCCCATCTATTGTTAAAATAATAAACAACTCCTGATTTATGTACTGTACAGCCCTGTAAATGTATTCAATGCATATTATATCATTATGTCTAAATCAAATGTAAATCTGTATATTTTCAGCCACGTTGAACTCTATTAATAAACGTTTATTATATATATATTATTATTATTATTATATATTATTATATATATTATATATTATTATTATTATTATTATTATTATTATTATACATGACCCATTAGACCAGCTGCTGTCCAGTGCCTCCTCTGTGTCCTCAATGATAACCTCCACCTCCCCACCCACACCTCCCACACCTCCCCACCCTCCACCCTCCCACACCCCACCCTCCACCCTCCCCCACCCACACCCCCACCCACACCCTCCACCCACACCCCACCCACACCTGCCCACCCACACCCCCCACCCACACCTTCCCCACCCACACCTCCCACCCCACACCTCCCCCACACCCTCCACCCCCCACCTCCACCCCACCCCACACCTCCCCCCACCTCCACCTCCCCCACCCACACCCCCACCCCCCACCCACACCCCACCCACACCCCCCACCCACCTCCCACCCACACCCCCACCCACACCCCCACCCACACCTCCCCACCTCCACCCCCCCCACCCACACCTCCCCCACCTCCACCCTCCCCCACCTCCACCTGCCCACCTCCACCTCCCCACCCTCCACCTCCACCTCCCCACCCACACCTCCCCCACTCCACCTCCCACCTCCACCTCCCCACCTCCACCTCCCCCACCTACACCTCCCCACCTCCACCTCCCCACCTCCACCTCCCCACCCACCTCCCCACCCACACCCCCACCCACCCCACCCACCCCCACCCACACCTCCCCACCCACACCCTCCCCCCCACCCACACATCCCCACCTCCACCCTCCCCCACCTCCACCTCCCCACCCACACCTCCCCCACCCACACCTCCCCACCCTCCACACCCCCACCCACACCTCCCCACCCACACCTCCCAACCCCACCTCCCCCACCTCCACCTCCCACCCACCTCCCCACCCACACCTCCCCCACCCACACCCCTCCCCACCCACCTCCCCACCTCCACACCCCACCCACACCCCACTCCACCCACCCACCCACCCCCACCCACACCCTCCCCCACCCTCACCCCCCACCCCACCCCCACCCACACCTCCCCACCCACACCTCCCCCACCCACACCCCCCACCTCACCTCCCACCCACACCCCCACCCACCTCCCACCCACACCCTCCCCACCTCCACCTCCCCCACCTCCACCCCACCCACACCTGCCCACCCACACCTCCCCCACCCACCTCCCCACCCACACCTCCCCCACCCACACCCCCCACCCACACCCCCCACCTCCACCCCCCCACCTCCACCTCCCCCACCTCCACCTCCCCCACCCACACCTCCCCACCCACACCCCACCCACCCTCCCCACCCACACCCCACCCACACCTCCCCCACCACCCCTCCCCCACCTCCACCCCACCCACACCCGCCCACCTCCACCTCCCCCACCTCCACCTCCCCCACCCACACCTCCCCACCCACCCTCCCCACCTCCACCCTCCCCACCCACACCTCCCCCCCCACCCACCTCCTCTCTCACTCCTCCCCCACCCTCCCACCTCCCCACCCACACCTCCCCCCACCTCCACCTCCCCACCACACCTCCCCACCCACACCTCCCCACCCACACCTGCCCACCTCCAACCCCACCCACCTCCCCACCCACACCCCCCCACCCACACCCCCCACCTCCACCCTCCCCACCTCCACATCCCCACCCTCCACCCTCCCCCACCTCCACCCTCCCCCACCCACCCCACCCACACCCGCCCACCCACACCTCCCCACCTCCACCTCCCCCCCACCCACACCCCCACCCACACCCTCCCCACCCACACCTCCCCACCTCCACCCCCCACCTACACCTCCCCACCTCCACCTCCCCACCTCCATCTCCCCACCCACACCTCCCCCCACCCACACCCTCCCACCCACACCCCCCACCCACACCCCCACCTCCACCTCCTCCAACCACCTCCCCACCCACACATGCCCACCTCCACCTCCCCCACCTCCACCCTCCCCACCCACACCCCCACCCACACCTGCCCACCCACACCCCTCCCCACCCACCTCCCCACCCACACCTCCCCACCCACACCTGCCCACCTCCACCTCCCCCCACCTCCACCCTCCCCACCCACCTCCCACCCACACCCCACCTCCACCCCCCCACCCACACCTCCCACCTCCACCCCCACCCACACCTCCCCACTCCACCTCCCCACCCACACCTCCCACCCACACCTCCCCACCCACCTCCCCACCCACACCCCCACCCACACCTCCCCACCCTCCACCTCCCCCACCCACCCCACCCACACCCCCACCTACCCTCCCCACCCACACCCTCCCACCTCCACCCCCACCCACACCCCCCACCCTCCACCTCCCCACCCACACCCTCCCCCCACCTCCACCCTCCCCACCCACACCTCCCACCCACACCTCCCCCACCTCCACCCTCCCCCACCCACACCTCCCCACCTACACCTCCCCACCTACACCTCCCCACCTCCACCTCCCCACATCACCTCCCCACCCACACCTCCCCACCTCCACCTCCCCCACCCACACCTGCCCACCCACACCTCCCCACCCACCCCCACCCACACCTCCCCCCACCCACACCCCCACCCACCTCCCCACCCACACACCCCCCACCCACACCTCCCCACCCACCCCCACCCACACCCTCCCCACCCACACACCTCCCACCCACACCTCCCACCCACCTCCCCACCTCCACCTCCCCACCTCCACCTCCCCACCCACACCTCCCCACCTCCACCTCCCTACCCACACCCCCACCCACACCCTCCCCACCCACCTCCCCACCTCCACCCACCCACACCTGCCCACCTCCACCTCCCCCACCTCCACCTCCCACCTACACCTCCCACCTCCACCTCCCACCACCTCACCCCACCCACACCCCCACCCTCCACCCCCCCCTGCACCTCCCCCACCTCCACCTCCCCCCACCCACACCCACCTCCACCCTCCCCCACCACACCTCCCCACCACACCTCCCCACCCTCCCCACCCACACCCACACCTGCCCACCCCACCTCCCACCTCCACCTCCCCCACCCACACCTGCCCACCCACACCTGCCCACCCTCCACCTCCCCACCTCCACCTCCCCCACCCACCTCCCCACCCTCCACCTCCCCACCTCCACCTCCCCACCCACACCTCCCACCCACACCTCCCCCACCTCCACCTCCCCCACCCACCTCCCACCTCCACCCCACCCACACCTCCCCACCTCCACCCTCCCCCACCTCACCCCCACCCTCCACCTCCCCCCCACCTCCATCTCCCCCACCCACACCTCCCCCACCCACACCCTCCCACACCCTCCCACCCACACCCCCCCACCCTCCACCTCCCAACCACACCCCCCCACCCACACCTCCCACCCTCCACCCTCCCCACCTCCACCCTCCCCACCCACACCTCCCACCCACACCTGCCCACCCACACCTCCCCCACCTCCACCTCCCCACCTACACCTCCCCACCCACACCTGCCCACCTCCACCTCCCCACCTCCACCTCCCACCTCCACCCCACCCCCCCACCCACACCCCACCCCCCACCCACACCCCCACCCTCCACCCCACCCACACCCCCACCCTCCACCCTCCCCACCCACACCCCCCCACCCACACCCCCCACCCACACCCACCCACACCCCCCACCCTCCACCTCCCCACCCACCTCCCCACCCACACCCCCCACCTCCACCCTCCCCCACCTCCACCTCCCCCACCTCCACCCCTCCTCACCCACACCTCCCCACCTCCACCTCCCCTCCCCACCTACACCTCCCACCTACACCTCCCCACCTCCACCTCCCCACCCACACCCACCCACCCCACACCCCCACCCCACCCCCAACCCCACACCCCCACCCACACACCCACACCCCCCACCCACCCCCCACATCACCTCCCCCACCCACACCCTCCCCACCTCCACCTCCCCACCCACACCCGCCCACCCACACCCCCACCCCACCCTCCCCCACCCACACCTCCCCACCCACACCCTCCCCACCCACACCTCCCCACCTCACCTCCCCCACCCACACCTCCCCACCTCCACCTCCCCACCCACACCCCCACCCACACCTCCCCACCCACACCTGCCCACCCACACCTCCCCACCTTCACTCCCCACCCACACCCCCACCTCCACCCTCCCCACCCACACCTCCCCACCCACACCCCACCCACACCCTCCCCACCCACCCCACCCACACCCCACCCCCACCCACACCCCACCCACACCTCCCCCACCCACACACCTGCCCACCCACCTCCCCCACCTTCACCTCCCCACCCACACCTCCCCACCTCCACCTCCCCACCCACACCCCACCCACACCACCCCCCATATGTACAGAACCAAATAGCAATGCTTGAATACCTCAATGTAAATGTGAGACAACAGTGTGAGGCCAGACATACTGCCTCACACGCCTGTACCACGCATTTGTGAATAAGTTACCCTTTATGTATAGAACTAAACAAATAATGTAAATGAAATACTGTGAACATTCAGTGCCATAATATCCTGACAACGGGGTTAATTATTATGACCCTTTGTAAACTCTACTCTGTAATCCTTTGCGCTACTGCTCACAGGATGAGTGTGGGGTGCACATGTGCTTGTACAGCTGCAAAATAAAATCAATCCCACTCCCCACCTCCACTCCCACCTCCACCCCCCACCCACACCTGCCCACCCACACCCCTACACCTCCCCACCCACGCCTCCCCACCCACACCTCACCACCAATGTCCAATCACCCTTGGCCTGTGCACCTGTTTCTCCAATCATTTTCCTCCCAACCTCCTTCCTCTCTGACTCCCCACTGCTTCTATTAACCTTTACCTCCTCCTCCTCCTCCTCACCTCCCACTTATCTTCCTCACCTCACCCCCCCTCCCCCTCCCACATACCCTCCCTCCTCCAACTCACTACCCCTCCTCCTCCCCCACTCACTACCCTCTTGACTATTTAACCTCCCATCCCCATACCACTCCTCCCTATGACCACTCTCCCCAACCTCCCACCACCCCCATAACCATTCTCCCCATTCTCTACCATCACCCTCCCACCTCCCCATTACTACTCCCCTGTCTCCTCCATGACACGACTAACTTGCTCCCCATCTCCTACCCACAGCTCCCCCGCGGTTCAGTCTCCAGGGCACGAACGTCAGTGTGGGCACGGGAAGTCTTGCTATGTTGAGGTGCCCCGTGACAGGTGACCAGCCCATGAAACTTTCCTGGCATAAAGACGGCAGGCTTGTCATGCCCTCCGAGTCCTACAGGTGGGTGACAAGGCCCATGACATGAGACTCTTGGGTGGTTTCTCTCTCTCTCTCTCTCTGTGATGCAACAGGTAATCTGGCTATGCTTCCTGAGAAACCAAATTTGTATGCAAACTACAGCACTGATCAAGCCTCACTCTCGACACACTCCACCTGTGATACTAAAATGAGTTTGTAGTAACCTAACCTAACCTAACCTAACCTAAACTAACCTAACCTAACCTAATCTAACCTAACCTAACCTAACCTAACCATACCATACCATTAGGAGTCAAAACTGTTACAAAATCTGCAATTTTCTTTCGTGGTTTTTATCCTTTTACGCCCATCTTACATCTTTCATTTATCTAGGCACGAACTGAGAGAGAGCACGTCGGGAGGTGTGGGGCGGAGGGCGTGTGTGGGGAGGAAGAGCGGGTGTTGGAGTTGGTAGTGACGGGCGTGACACGAGATGACGGATGACAGTACGTATGCACGGCTGAGAACGCCCACGGTCACGCCTCCACCACGGTCACCCTCATGTGCTGCAAGTGTGTGTGGCTAGTGAGTGAGTGTAATAGGATGTGTGTGTCTGTGTCTTTACTACTTGATTTATTCCATTTCCCCCTTTTTGTTCAGTCTTGAGTTTGACCAAATCTTATTCCCCCATTGTTTACCACGAGTCTAACTTCCGTTCCCCCGTTGTTGTTTACCCACATCATGACCTACATATACTCCAGTGCTGACCATAATAACACTCATTACCCCCACCACCACTACCATCTTGTAGAGCCCTGACCTGCCACGGTCGCTGCACGTGGTAGACAAGGGGTCCCGGCACGTCCGTCTGGCCTGGGAAGTACCTCAGGACGGTAACTCCCCCATCACCAAGTACACCCTCCGCTACACACGTCTGGGAGGTAAGTACTGGTGGTGTGAGTCATAAACAGAGAACAGGGACTAAGGATGTATGAATATATACTAGTCCAAAAACCCAGCTTACTGAAGTCTGAGTTTGTCCTTACACCAACAGACTGGCAGCAACAGACACTTCAAGCGCACAACAACAGCAGCAGCAGCCCCAGGAGGAGGAGGTGGCTGTAGGGGGACATGTGAAGGAGGTGATGGTGGAGACTCTCATCCCAGCCACTCAGTATCTTTTCACTCTCTACGCCCACAATGCCATGGGTCCCTCCAAACCCTCTGAGGTATGTTAGTTATTCTCGCCTCTCCAAACACTCCCAAATGACCTCTTAAAACCATGACAGAATACAACACACACACACACACACACACACACACACACACACACACACACACACACACACACACACACACACACACACACACACACACACACACACACACACACACACACACACACACACACACACCCTCTCTTGATCCCTGTGGTAAAGGCCATTCATTTTTTATCGTGTCAAGTTTTATGTGTCTATTAAAAACCACGACTTTAAGATACAAGTTTATGGAGGCATCAAACGATCTGGTGTAAGTTGTTATGGGAGAAGATAAGACGCAACTTTGAGTCAATATATCGAAGTGTTTGACTCAGTTTACACAGCTCTCAAGGTGATAAAATACTGGGGTATTTTTTGTCAATATTTCTCATGGGTTTAGTGACGTAGCTGTTATAAATCAAAGTTGTAGACGATTTAGTCGTGTTCTTTATAATATACAGTGGACTCTCTCCCCTCCCTTCAACCACTGGCATCCAACGAAGCCCCAGTTTTATCCCTGAGAGCTTACCGACATGAACCACAACAAACCGAGAGGCCATAAGCCCCTTGAAGAGATATTCTAACCCCTCACAGATGAATCCAGATAACAAGAGTCTTTCCAAGCGCTCTCAAATGATAACCAGGAACCAGCGAGATAGACCTATAAGATAACACAATCTCTAAGCGTTTTGAAAAGATAACCGAGACCGATAAGATCTATTAACGATGGGAAAATCTTTAATATTCTAAGGAGAAATTCAAACCCCACGAGCGTCTCTAGAACCCCCTAAAACGAGACATCAATCCGGCCGAGACTTGGGTCACACACACACACACACAAGTATCGTTTTGTGTGTGTGTGTGTGTGTGTGTGTGTGTGTGTGTGTGTGTGTGTGTGTGTGTGTGTGGGTAGTCCCTCCTCTAAACTTTCTGAAATAAAACCATTGACGAGCTTGATGCAGTCCTTAACTTTACCCACCACCGAATACCTAAACTTTTTGATTTCGACTCAAACACAGTTCCACCTCCCAATTCCCTCACCTTCGGTTTCTTCTTGTCTTGTAGTGAGAGAGAGAGAGAGAGAGAGAGAGAGAGAGAGAGAGAGAGAACGACGACGCCCTTCAGGAAGAGAATTTGAGATCTGAAGAGGAAAGTTAACGTGATATGTGTGTGTGTGTGTGTGTGTGTCCAGGTAACGACTCAGGGCCATATATATAATTACCTCTCTATCACAGGCGCTGCAGGTGACTACAGAAGGAGAAGCCCCTGAGGTCCCCCACGTGAGGTAGAGGTCACGGCCCTATCCTCCACCTCCCTTAAGGTCTCCTGGGCGCCCCCCGACCCCTCTGTCAGACACGGCAGGATTCTCGCTTACTACATCGGCTACGGGAACACAGGGTAGGTATATACTAGGTAGTGGACTTCCTTCGTCACGTAGGTACTAGGTAGTGGTACTCCTTCGTCAGGTAGGTACTAGGTATAAACACCTCGAAAAATAACACAATCACCCAAGTATATTCTCACTGTCTCCATCAAACTCATCCCTTCTCCTCCTTCTCCTCCCAGCACGTCCAGTGACCAATACAAGATCGTGACGGTGGAGGCGGACACTTGGCTCTCCTCATCATCCAGCTCATCATCGTCATCATCATCATCGTCTTCATCATCGTCAGTATCCTTGTCGTCGCCTACATCATCATCTTCATCGTCATCGTCGTCTACAGGAGGGTGTTGCTCGGCCGTGGTGACTGAACTCTCGCCCTACACGGAGTATGTGTTAGAGGTTCAGGCTGTCAATGCACAAGGGGCAGGTCCGTCTGCCATCCCAGTCACCGCCACAACACTTGAAGATGGTGTGTATAAATCCTCATGTGGTGTAGGACTCTGTATATGGGTCCTGTTAACCTGCTAGGAGTCATATGTGGATCCTGTATGGTGATAGAGTAATCATATTGGTGGATTAGGAGGATTTTAATAACTAGTAGACATATGAATCAGTTGTTTATCTTTCTCTCTCTTTCTTATCTGTTTTAGCTGTATATTCTTCCTTACATGTTTTAATCAATTCTCTCATCTTTCATCTTTAGTCCCTTCGGCGGCGCCCACGGCAAGGTGCGCCCATGACCGCCCGCAGTGTGCTAGTATCGTGGGACATCCTCACTCCCGCCCACGCCCGCGGACACCTACTAGGTTATCGGGTTCTGTACGCCCCCGCTGACAGAGGTAAGTATCGGGGGATGAATGGGGGATGGTAAGGAGGAGGGGAAGAGGAAGGAGAGTAGGGAGGTGAAGAGGGAAGGAGAGGAGGACGTGAAGAGGATAGGGACGTGAAGAGGGAAGGAGAGAGGAGGAAGAGGAAGGAGAGAGGACGTAGAGGGAAGGAGAGGAGGGAGGGAAGAGGGAAGGAGAGGAGGGAGGGAAGAGGGAAGGAGAGTAGGGACGTGTAGAGGGAAGGCAGAGAAGGGAGGGGAAGAGGGAAGGAGGAGGGAGGGAAGAGGAAGGAGAGTAGGGACGTGAAGAGGGAAGGCAGAGAAGGGAGGGGGAAGAATTTCCTTATATTATCAATGTCTCCATTAACCATTAACGTCTCTGTTTTTATCTCGATTCAGTCACAGAGCTGAGTGGGGAGACGACGTCATCGTTGAGTGCGCCGCTGCGGGGGTTACGACCCTACACCAACTACTCCCTGCAGGTGGTGGGATTCACGAGGGTGGGAGAGGGACCACCGAGTGACCCAGTCTTCTGTACCACCGAGGAGGACGGTACGAGGCCCCACTTACTGTAGATAATTCCTCACTGAAGGTTTAATAAGTACAACAACTACCCCTATGTTTTGTTTATGTTGATTTTATGCTTACTAAGGGGCCCCACTATTACGACGGTTGCCATGGTGATCATTGAACTGTTTATAGGAGGCTCGACTAAAAGGCTTTTACGGGGCCACTATTATACGTGCTGAGTGGCCTCCTGTAACCTTCTGGTATACTTCTAAGGGAGAATATCACACCACCAAGAAACATGTTTATAATACACTAAATACTACACACTAACGTATTCTGACAGTCATAGTATATCAGGTTTATTAAGGTGAATTTACTGAATGTTTACTACAGGTATAATGTTTATCATAAAATTGCTGTTATTGTGTTTTGGTTAATTGACTTTTATTCTTTTATGGTAATTTTGAATTATTCCAGGACAATCTACCCTCCCTCCTTTCCTCCTTCTTTCCTTCCTCCTCCTTTCCTCCTTCTTTCCTCCTCTCTCACTCCCACTCGCCCTCCTTCCCTCTCACTGCTCACCCTTCCTCCAGAGTGTTACATTGACCCTCCCTCTCTCTCCCCTACAGTACCAGGCCCCCCATCAGGAGTGAAGGCGGCAGTGGCAGGGTCGGGAAGATTGGTGGTGTCATGGCTACCACCCGCTAACAGTAATGGCCGTCTCCTGACCTACACCATCACCATCAGGGGCAGAGACGTGCAGGGTGGGTTGGGCTGGGTGGCTGGCTGGGTGGCTGGCTGGGTGGCTGGCTGGGTGGCTGGCTGGCTGGGTGGCTGGCTGGCTGGCTGGGTGGCTGGCTGGGTCCTCGTGTGTACATACATCAAATCACTCTTGGCTCCTCTCTTAAACATACCATTTAATTTTGTAATGATATAAAACCAACTTTGATGACCAATTCACCATACTCACTCTCTCTCTCTCTTTCCGTCTACAGAAGTTCGTGGTCAGAGCACCTACGACAAAACATCAGGTGAGCGTAGGTGGGGGCGGTCCAGTGAGGGTGATGGTAGCTGCTTCGACGAGGATAGGTGAAGGGACGCCATCCACCCCCGTCACAGTCAACCCTTCTAATACAGGTAGGATCATTTAATATCCTGTCGTGGGTTCTGTCTATGTATCTGTCTCTTTTTGTATCTGTCTGTCTCTGTCTCTCTCCCTATATACAACACCACACACCATAACCCTCCTCTACACCACAATATCTAGCTGGCTGGTGAAGGGTCGAGGGGTGAAATGTACTCGTGTGTTTCCATATCTGTCATAATGTGTTCATGTCCGTTGAAAACCCCACGTATTATGGCGGCTCCAATGCGGGTGTGTTGAGGCAGTGTGCTAAGGTGGATAACAAAAGTAATTCTATAGGTTTATTCTACATCCTCTCGTCTTTGGATGTTGTAGGTTATATAGGTGATTATCTCTCTCTGTGTTTTTCTAGTCATTCGTTACATTCATTTGAAGTTAAAGCTGAGAATGTTTGCCAGTAGTTATGTTGCAACGTTTCATTCACACCTTTGTCTTGTATTGATGGATTGATTTCCTGTCATTTTTTCTATAACATTCCGTACACCAGATGTTACCTCCCTGTCTCTCTCGTTAATCTCCTGTATAGTGTTAAATACCTTCTATAGTCTTCCTATATCTCTCAATAATGTCTCTATGACGTCTATACACTAGAGTAGTTTCATATATGTATATATATATATATATATATATATATATATATATATATATATATATATATATATATATATATATATATATATATATATATCAGTGATTTCTATAGTTTATTTAGTAAGGGCTTATACCTGAGCTAACACCCTCCATTACTTCACAGTAGCGGCGAAGGTGGTGTCGTGGGGAGGGGTGACGGAGGTGCACTGGGAGGAGGACGTGAGCCTGCGGTGTGAGGCTGTGGGTGAACCTCCTCCCTCACGCTCCTGGTACAGGGACAACACCCTCATCAACGACGCCTCCCAAAGGTACGTCAGTCACAACTATTACTTCCTCAGGTAGAGTAGGTCATTATTCGTGGTATGGGGCTGGCATATGGGTGAATGCCATCATAAAACTCCTTACCAAATAATTCCACAAAGGTCACTAATACTAAAACTTGACCTTAGAGTTTGACGGTGTTCATTCAGTAGCTCATATGATCACCTGTTCATTTGGGGAGATTTTCTGATCTATTTAGAACACATGTTTCCTCTTGACTACATCACTTCCTTCCCCATAAAGAGTGTCGAGCTATCCTGACGGGACGCTGGTACTGAGACGTCCAGAGGAAAGACTCCTAACTACACCTGCAGGGTGGCCAATACCCACGGCGAAGACCACATCACCTACCTCCTCACCGTCCAGGGTAAGTCACCGCCTCCTGCTGGGGGTGTACAGGAGGAGGGTCTTCTAGTAAGTAATATATCCTGTGCTCTCTACTCCTCTACTGACTCACATACAAACAACAACAACAGGTACGGTTATTCATCTCACTCAACACTACGTCACTACTCCAAGTTGTTATTATTGTACGGTGTTGTCAATGTTTCTTTTATGTCCTTCAGCGGCCAGGGGTCACCAAACTCCGGGCCGGGGAACCTTCAGGCACAGTCCACTAACTCTCCGACACTAGACAACAACACTCAAAAGTTCAGCAAGGTATTCTCTCTCTCTCTGATATCCGAGGTGTACCATATTGCATTCCACTCATTGACCAGTTGTTATTGAAAGAGTTCCAATGATCTATTGTTCCATTGTAATTCTACCAGCGGGGAAATAATGATGTGTTTTGACGTTTGCCCATGACAAAGGCGGTGCGTGTGTGTGTGTGTGTGTGTGTGTGTGTGTGTGTGTGTGTGTAATAATGATAATAATAATAATAATAATAATATTATAATAATAATAATAATAATAATAATAATAATAATAATAATAATATAATAATAATAATAATAATAATAATAATAATAATAATAATAATAATAATAATTAACGGTTTATTGAAAGAGCTTGGTCAGAAAGCTGAAAATATACAGTTACATAATTGGGAATGGGTTTCGAATTACAAATAATATACAAATAACATAAGTCATATAAATAAGATATATAATAACTAGATGTGGAAAAAGCTCAAACTACAGGGCATTTCAACATAGTGACAGTTCAAGAAGTAGTATTTACTGGGAGTGAATACACTGGTTTATTACAAATTATTGATAATTTTTACAATGGTTGGGACTGGGCAGTTCTTATAGCGATAAGTTCGTGCACGTATGGGCTGGATGCGGTTGTGGTGTCGAACAGCAATTCTCAGGCTGGGGATCTCAGGTGGTAGTAGGAGCCGGTGTCGAGGATGGTGCAGAAGCTTCTTACCAAATTTGCAGATGAGGTCGTGGTGATGGTTAGTGAGAGTCGAAAGGGTCAGTGTGTTGAGCGCTTCTTGATATGTGGAGTGGGAAGGAGAATAATCTTGCATGCCTCTTTTGCACTTTCTAGGTGTTTACGTTGTGTGGCATTTAGGAAGGAAGACCAGGTGGGGAGGCATAGGTGAGCTCGGGAAGTATGAATGTTGAGTAAATACTGATGAGCTGGGTGCAGGAACTCCGAGGGACTTGAGTCGGCGGAGGAGGTGGAGACGGAAACTGGAGGATTTGACATCTTCACTGACGTGTGGTTTCCAATTTAGTTTGTTGTCTATGGTGACGCCGAGGAGCTTCGTGGAATCTACAACCTGGAGTGTGTTTGGACCTAAATTAATGGAAGGGGGTGGGACAATGTCGGAGGAGAGGTTGATGTGCATAACCATGGTCTTGGTATTGTTGATGGTGACATGGTTGTTGGTGGCCCATTTTGGAGACTGTTCAATAAATCCTGAAGGGCGGTATAGTCGGGAGTAGAATTGTTGACGCTGATCCCAATGGTGGAGTCGTCGACATATTTCCAGCGGGCGGGGTTCTCTTAGGGCATCATTGATAAGCATAAGGCAGAGTGGTCCCATCTTGGTGCCTTGGGGACGCCACAGGTGAGTGACTGAAAGTGGAGACAGCCCCTCGAAGCGTACGAGCTTGACGTCGGTCACTGAGGAAGTCTGTGGCCATGGTATAAGACTTCTCGAAGCCCGAGGTCAATAGCTTTGTTGATGATTATATTATGGTCGACTAGGTCGAACTTTAGTGAAATCAATGAAGGCGACAGCTACAGACGTTTTCGTTTCTCGAGATGGCGGTATATGTAATCGAGAAAGCTGACAAGACAGTGAGTGGTGGAGAGTTTTCATATTGCCAAATTGCTGAGGGTCTACGACTCTGCAATATCAGCATAAGGCCAGTCGAACACAAAACTTTCACAGATTAGGCTGGGTATTGGGGTGATTGCAATAGGTCGTGTGATTTAAGGATTGTGGGCTGGTTGACTTGGGCACTGGTGATACATAAGAGGTCTTCCAGTCAGCTGGGCATCTGGCTTGACTGAGAGAAGCATTGATGATGGAGCATAGGGGCTTAGCAAGTTCCGGGAGGAACTCCTTGAAGAGTTTGTGTGTGTGTGTCATAAGCCAGCACATAACACTTTATGGTTACAACTTTATATTCTTATGATCTCACAGCAAAGGCAGACTAAGCTTATACGGACCCATGGACCAGCTAACGACACATGGACCAGCTGTGATACATGGACCAGCTAATACATAGACCAAATGACACGTGTACCAGCTGACACATAGACTAAATGACACATAGACCAGCTGACACATGGACCAACTGACACATGGACCTGCTGACACTTGGACCAGTTGACACTTGGACCAGTTGACACATGGACCAGCTAATACATAGACCAACTAACACATAGACTAAATGACACATAGACCAACTGACACATGGACCAACTGACACATGGACCTGCCGAGACATGGACTAAATGACACATAGACCAGCTGACACATGGACCAACTGACACATGGAACTGCTGACATATGGACCAGCTGACACATAGGCTAAATGACACATAGACCAACTGACACATGGACCAACTGACACAGGGACCAGCTGACACATAGACCAACTGACACATGGACCAAATGACACAGGGACCAACTGACACATAGACCAACTGACGCATGGACCAACTGACACAAACCAACTGACACATAGACCAACTGACACATGGACCAACTGACACATGGACCAAATGACACATGGACCAACTGACACAAGACCAACTGACATGGACCAACTGACACATGGACCAACTGACATGGACCAACTGACACATGGACCAACACACATGGACCAACTGACACATGGACCAAATGACACATGGACCAATGACATATAGACCAGCTGACACATGGACCAAATGACACATGGACCAAATGACATATAGACCAACTGACACATGGACCAAATGACACAGGGACCAACTGACACATAGACCAACTGACACATGGACCAACTGACACATAGACCAACTGACACAAGACCAACTGACACATGGACCAACTGACATGGACCGACACATGGACCAACTGACACATAGACCAACTGACACATGGACCAACTGACACATGGACCAACTGACACATGGACCAATGACATGGACCAACTGCACATGGACCAACTGACACATGAACCAAATGACACATGGACCAAATGACACATGGACCAACTGACACATGGACCAAACGACACATGGACCAACTGACACATGGACCAACTGACACATAGACCAACTGACACATAGACCAACTGACACATGGACCAAATGACACAGGGAAGTGACGGAGACAAATTACGACCCTAGAAGCACTCTGGATATTTACTCAGTTAATTGCTACTCCAGAGGCTGAGCGAGGCCCGAGGGAGTTGGTCACCTCTTGTGGAGTGAGTTCTCTCTCTCTCTCTTTTTTCTCTCTTTCTCTTTCTCGCTTTCTTTTCTTCTCTCTCTGTCTTTCTTTACTCTCTGTTCTCTCTTCTTTATACTCTCTTCCTCTTTTTTACTCTATCTCTGTCTTTTCACTTCTTCTCTCTTTTCTTCTTTTCCTCTCTCTCTCTTTCTTCTCTCTCTTTCTTTTACTCTCTGTCTCTCTTTTATTTACTCTATCTCTGTCTTTCTTTTTCTCTCTCTCTCTCTCTCTTTCTCTTTCTTTACTCTTTTCTCTCTTTCTTTCTTTATTCTCTATCTCTCTCTTTCTTTACTCTATCTCTGTCTTTTTTTACTCTCTGTCTCTCTCTTTCTTTATTCTCTATCTCTCTCTTTCTTTACTCTATCTCTGTCTTTTTTTACTCTATCTCTCCCTCCTTCTTTCTTGACTCTTTCTCTCTTTTTTCTTTCTCTCTCTCTCTTTCTTTACTCTCTTTCTGTCTTCCTCTCTATCTCTCTCTTCCTTTCTCTCTATCTCTCTCTTTCTTTACTTTCTCTCTCTTTCTTTACTCTTTCTCTCTCTCTTTATTCCTTGTCCTTTTTTACTTTCATTTTCTCTCTTTTTTTTACTTCCCCTTTCTCTTTCTTTCTTTCTTTTTCTTTCTTTCTTTCCTCTCCTCTTACTCTCTCTTTCAATTCCATCATCACCTATAACCACATCCTCTCACTCTACCCACACACAGTTCCACCCTACCCGCCCCACATCCACGTGACGAGGACGGGAGCCACCACGCTGACGGTGGCCTGGAGGACGGGTGACGACAGGGGCGCCTCTCCTGGGCCTGACGGTATCGTACAGAAAGGACTACGGCGAATGGCAGGAAGAGACGGTTCCTCCTACCCAAACCTCTCATGAACTTCGAGGTCTGTCCTGCGGCAACAATCATTACCCGTCACGGCCTACAACAAGATGTATGTATGTATGTATGTATGTATGTATGTATGTATGTATGTATGTATGTTTGTATGTATGTGTGTGTGTGTGTGTGTGTTTAATCTACTGTACACACTCCCCATACAGGTAGGAGATGGGCGTCCGTCTGAGAACCTCCGCACTAAGACTGCCGGCTCCCAACCCATCGCAGGTGGGCGTGAGGGCGTGGTGAGTGCTAACACATCGTGGGCGGCGATGAGTCTAGCCCAGTGGAGTGATGGAGGCTGCCCTATCAGCCACTACAGCGTCGCCTACAGGAGAACTAGCAGCTCCTCCTGGGTCGTAGGTCAGTATTCCATTCTCACCACTATACTAGCCTCCTCCTTCAACAACCTAACCTCCAACCTCATCTAACCTCAACCTAACCTACTACCCTAACCTCTAACTAACCTAGTGTGTGTGTATGTGTGTGTTAGACATCATGGAAATAATAAATATAATTATAAATCACAATTATATTTCCTTCCCTCTTCATAATTGTCATTGTCTGTTATGCCGCCCACAGTATCTGAAAGGGTGGAGATGGCCCGTGGAGCTGGGTGGCCTGTTTTGTTATATATTGGAGAGTAACCGCCCACAACTCAGCTGGCAGTACACCACAAGACTACCCCTTCACCACCGCCCCCCTTTGGGAGGTAAGTGAGGGAGAGATGGAGGGTGAGTGAGAGGAAGGACTGGATGGAGGAGACAGACAGACAAAGAGACAGACGGAGTAAGGAAAAGACAACTAGACACTTTGAGAGACAGGCAGACAGACAGACAGACAAAGAGACAGACGGAGTAAGGAAAAGACAACTAGACACTTTGGGAGACAGACAGACAGACAGACAGACAAAGAGACAGACGGAGTAAGGAAAAGACAACTAGACACTTTGAGAGACAGGCAGGCAGACAGACAGACAAAAAAGAGACAGACGGAATAAGAAAAAGACATCTTGACACTTTGAGAGACAGACAGACAGACTGACAGACACTGAAGTAAAAAATAAATAAAACCTTTACAACCATTGATCTCACAGCCCCGTGTGATAAAACTTACGGTCGTGCTTGTATTAGCTGTTGGAAGAAGAGTGAGAGACAGGGACTCCTTTGGGTGGGAATCCATAGCAAATTGGATATGCCACAAAGGGATATTCAGTGTATAGATTTATGTTGCCCCGAGCCCCTTTCAAGAGAGAGAGCTAAGAGTTATGGTCGAGATTCTCAAGTAAGATGACCTGCCAAATTATTGTGATATAGGACCGGATTATATATGTATGTAAATATATATATATAACAATTTATTGATATACTTCTATATATGGGAGTGAGTTTAGGATACTTTTCTTAGGTAAGGAGGAGGATAGATAGATAGATAGCTAGATAAATAGATAGATAGATAGATAGATAGATAAATAGAACGATAGATAGATAGATAAATAGATAGATAGATAGATAGATAGATAGATAGATAGATAGATAGATAGATAAATAAATAGAACGATAGATAGATAGCTAGATAAATAGATAGATAGATAGATAAATAGATAGATAGATAGATAGATAGATAGATAAATAGATAGATAGCAGAAAATTACATCACTAGGCTTGACTGTATGGTAATCTTTCATCCTTACAAGACAGACAGACAGACAGACAGACAGACAGACAAACAGACAGACAGACAGTATTAAGGTTCACCATAGGATAGCTCCACCATCCCTCTACAAGACAAGACGTAGCTCTACATAATTCATAGTTCCCCCCCTGGAGGCCAAAACTGTGTGGCGAGGCGAACTATATGCAAATGGCGCGAATCAAGTTAAAGAAAATATTAATGTCTGACGAACCAGCGTTTGGTGAGAGGATTAAAACCTCTTTTGATGTGGGTAATGTAATCCAGCTGGGGAGACGAACTTAGGTGGATATATCCTTTCAACCAGTCGGCCAATTTGTGGATATGGTAGATTTATTATGGGTTATTAATCCATGTTGTATTTTATCCTGTGGAGGTATTTAGCTAGGGTGTAAGTTTTATTGATATGCATTTTTATTTTTTTATTATTACCTAACCTAACCTAACCTAACCTAACCTAACCAAATGTATTTTGTTCATTACTATTGAAGTCTATTAAGAAGAACCCATTAGGACTGAAGAGTATGGGATTAAGTTCTATTAGCATTATAAAGACTGGGATTTATATAAACAAATTGGAACTGGGGGTGGGGGAGCTATTAGAACTGGGACCTATTGGGATTAAGGTTCACTGTAATTGGCACAGGGGGTTTATAAGCCTAGACCCATTGAGATTGTTGCCCATAAGATCTGAGAGCCCACTTTACCCATTTACCATATATCTCACCTGCTCCTCCTTCTGCCACCCCTACGTCAGGTCCATCTTCGCCGGGGCTGGTGATGGACGGGGTGTACCTGACGGACGTGAGGGTACTACTGCCCGTCGTGGCTTCCTCCTTAGCCCTCCTCGCCACCGTCATCACCGTCTGCGTCTGCGTCAAGAAGAGTGAGTACAGTAGGTTCTCCAAAGGCCTAACCTAACCTAACCAAGAGCATTAACCCAGACTCTGTAACAGCGTATAATTATCCAGGGAAGACGTGATAATAACAGGACAATAAATAATAAAGAAAGGAAAGATTTTATTATCTTTAACTTGAATTTGTTTCCTTCAATAGTGATGTTTCTTCCTACTAATATATTAAGTGAGAATTTGACGTAAATATTCCATGAGGCTAAAGTGTTTTTGTTGTGTTAATGTGAGGACATTTTCAAGACTAAATGATGACGTTTCAAATATTAATATGTAAAGTGGGATATATATATATATATATATATATATATATATATATATATATATATATATATATATATATATATATATATATATATATATATATATATATATATATATATATTGTATATAAGGCACTCACAAGCCTTCTCCTCCTCCTCTCACTCAGAACTTCCACCACAGTCAAGTCAACCCTCTCCTATACACCCTTCACCTCTCAACCCCACCCCCTACACGTTTTCATTCCCTCTCACCTTCCCACACACTAATGAACACTCTCCCTTCCCCTCGCCCCACTCAGAGCCTCCGCCAGCCTCGCCACAGAGCGGAGGGGACAGTAGCATGACGGCGGTACAGGACAACAAGGAAAACATGAAGCAACGGGAACAGTACTACGCCACCGTCAGGAAAACCTCTCCCCACCGTGATCCAGCAGCCCTAGAGCGTATCCCTGGTAGGTCTTGGGGCAGGAAGGGAGGATTTGGAGCAGGGAGGGAGGACTTGGGGCAGGGAGGGAGGACTTGGGGCAGGGAGGGAGGACTTGGAGGCAGGGAGGGAGGACTTGGAGCAGGGAGGAAGGACTTGAGACAGGGAGGTCCTATGTCTAATATCTACTGAAATCTTTTTACAAATCTAAGGGTCAGTTCAGGGATTTAAAGACCCAACAACACACTCGGTGGACCTTTCTAACATTTAGAAAACTGTTTCAGAATACGCGGACGACATCTACCCGTACGCCACCTTCCAGATGAACAACAGCCAACAACAGCAGCAGCCACAGCGACCCCGTCTGCAGCAACCGACACCCCAGCAGCACCACAACCCCTCCCACGGACATTACCAACCCTGCCCTTACAAGGATGTTATGGCCGGTAGAGAGGTGAGTCCTTCTGCCGTCGCTCCTTCGGATACTGCCGAGCCAGCGGAGAGATGAGACCTGCCTCTACTTCCACGGGCGTTCCCAGTTATAGTCCTACAGGAATATCATGGCCTCGTCTGTCAGAGGAGGGATACTTGCAGGGATTCTGCTGTGGATGTACGTGTTCATGCCCGTGAATTTGTCCGTGCAAGAAGCAATGTAAGACCAAGATAGAAACTGATGGGTGATAGGCAGACTTTGTGCCCCATACAGTACACAGGGAACACCACTGTTATACATTTCACCCTCGAGGTTCAGTACCAGAATACACCAGTCTCTCTTCACTCCACCTATCTTCTGAGAATGGCTACACGTATTAATTGCTGTAGGTCAGGAGACTTCATAGTCGGTTACATTCTAGGAGAAAAAAACCCAAAAATTTGGCAAAAATTCATGTACAGTACTACAGGGGAATGACTATTAGTATATCTATCAGTGGCGTTCTGTATTAGGAACTTTTTATCAATATATAAATCATATTTTCTTCAACATGGCTCAAGACAGAATCTCTCCTTCCAGCGGATGACAAGCTCAGCTGAGACCTACTGCCGTGTGGGCAGCGGCGGTGGAGGAGGTAACGGCGTAGGTGGCGGTGGAGGGGGCGGTGGCGGCGGTGGCGGTGGAGGTGGTGGAGGGGTTCTGGGCGTACGAGGGCGCCACCCCACGCCCGCGCCTCATTCTGTCAAGTCAGAGAGCGAGGAGTATGACACCTTTGGGTCTGACTCGGATACGGACCCGCCCGCATCCTCCAGGACCGAGTCATCCAACCAACTGGACCAGGACAGGTCAGGGATGATCAGAGCTGTGCATCATAGTAAGTCCTCACCACGACCACCCTCTTGTTACCACGACCACTACGACCACTAACACGACCACCCTCTTGTTGCCACGACCACTAACACGACCCGCTTGCTGCCACGACCACCACAACCACCCTCTTGTTGCCACGACCATCACGACCACTAACACGACCACCGTCTTGTTGCCACGACCACTACTACCACTAACACGATCATCATTTTCTTGCCACGACGACCACTACCACCCTTTTGTTACCATGACCACCACCACGAACACTAACTCGACCACCGTCTTGTTGCCACGACTGCCACGACCACTACGACGACCACCACCATGACCACTAACAAGACCATCGTCTTATTGACACGACCACCATGACCATCACCACTACCACTAACACCTCTTTTCCCACGACCACTACCACGACCACTACCAACCCTCTACCACGACCACTACCACGACCACTACCAACCACTACCACGACCTCACCACACCACAACCACTAACACGACCACTACCAACCCTACCACGACCACTACCAACCCCTACCACGACCAACAACCCCACCACGACCACTACCAACCTACCACGACCACTACCAACCTCTACCACGACCACCAACCAACCTACCACGACCACTACCACTACCAACCCTCTACCACGACCACTACCAACCCTACCACGACCACTACCACGACCACTACCACGACCACTACCACGACCACTAACCCTACCACGACCACTACCACGACCACACCACGACCACCACCACTCACCACGACCACTACCACGACCACTACCACGACCACTACGACCACTACCACGACCACCACTAACCACTACCAACACGACCACTACCAACCCTACCAATGACCTACCACGACCACTCATACCACGACCACTACCACGACCACTACCAACTACCCCCACCTACCACGACCACTACCACGACCACTACCAACCCCACCACGACCACTACACGACCCTACCACGACCACTACCAACCTCTACCACGACCAACCCTCACCACGACCACTACCAACCTACCACGACCACACTACCACCAACCTCTACCACGACCACTACCAACCTCACCACGACCACTACCACGACCACTACAACCCCACCACGACCACTACCACGACCACTACCACGACCACTACCAACCCTACCACGACCACTACCAACCACTACCACGACCACTACCAACCTCTACCACGACCACTACCACGACCACTACCAACCTCTACCACGACCACTACCAACCTTTTATATCCTCCCCTATTAAGAACATCCTCGACCATTATCTGATTGCCTCCTCCCCACTACGACCACCACGACCCATCCTCGTGTGTACCCCCCTTCTCCCCTACTCGTTATTCTCACCCCCACTTTAAACGTAACCCAGTGTTTTATCTCTCCCAATAACTCGCTACGTCAAGGTCTTATTTCTACTGAGGTTGGTTCTTTTAGTTTGTCTCGTTACCAATTAGTTTCATTGTTTACATCAGCAAGGGTTTTGATTGGCTTTTATTTTCTTAGTATGTACAGTGTCACAAGTAAGAGTTAGGAGATCTTACCCACGCAAAATTCAGGAATAATAAGAAAATAATAAGAATTTTATTTACTTTTTGTCGCCACTTACTATATAGCTTCGTTTACATCCAACCGCTGTCAATAATTCACACTCTGTTGCTTGGGTTTGCATGTGCCTTGTCCATATCCACCGTCTAACATCCTCTATATCTTGTATCACTTTGAGGTTCTCATCCCTTGATTATTTCCCTCACGATCTTCATTTGTTTTATATTTTTACGAACCTTCTTGGTCTTATTGTGAAAACGTCCCGATTAGCTTTTGTTTTCCGGCTGATTGATGATTTGTTTATGATCATGTCGCAGTCTTTCAATCTTATATTCTTTTGTTTTAAGTCCTTCGTATACTCGTATTACTCTTATAATGACGAACTCTCGATTGTTTTTATACCCCTGGAGACTTCTAACACTCCCACTTCACAATAATAACTTATCTAGCACCATTCCAGTGTTTTAAAATGCACTTTACCACTTATTCTGGAGACTCTCAGTGTTTGGTGTTAGCATGAAGGCTTCTCAGTGTATATTTCTTAAATGTCTAACACTTTTATCAAGGTTTAATATTCTTTATGTCTTCATCGTGGATTCAACTCGTCTCTGGATCTTACTGGGTGTTGAATGACTATTGCTTTATGTCCTCTTACTGTGGCGCATATTGTTGATAATAATTCTCATAATTATGTCATAAATACCAACCCCCACCTTCCTAAGCCTCGTATATAAACAATTACTCTGATTGTCTTACTGTTTTAGTGTCTAAGAGTTTGCACAAGTGGAGTATTTCTACATTAATATCGTACATTCACTCTTAAGGCTCTTAATAAACTTATTATCGAGATATTCTGAAAGTCTTGACAATGAATTTCTAATCGACTTTCATTTTTCAAAGACAGAATGAGACATATGCAAAATATTCAAATATGACTGCTGTATGGCCTTCAAGAACATACAATTACTGTTATATTAGACTACTTTAAGTCATTTTTCATTAAAGTTAAAATAAGAAATTTCAAAGTAAGATTATAGATTCATCCTTAATAAAATAAATTAATTATTAATACTCATTTATTAACTCATAAATTTCACCTTAATATGATTGTACATTTATTTTTCCAGACCTTATTTACCACGCGGCCGAGTCTAGCACGTCTACCGAAGCCTCGCCTACTTTACCTAGGCGGTCCTTCCACAGAAAACGAGAGAGGTCAGTGGGGATGAAAACCGCTGTAATCAAGGAGGAACTATTCTATTGAGTTCTTGAGTGAATGACTTTACTGTTTAGGCAGAGAGAGATAGAGAAAAAAAATATTTATATTAACACGAAAACATTTTTATTTTCTCTTGTGTTATACATGATTGAGAAGGGCCGGAAAAGGAAGCATAATATGAGATAGGCATAATGAGAAGATAAATAAAAGAAATTATCACTTAGTATGATTATAATGAAGATAAAAGAGAAGAGAAGAGCAGAGAGAGAGCGAGAGTGTGGTAGTGAGTGAGGTACGGCAGGGGAGACTTACCCAAAACCTCGTCTCTCCCCTCCAGGATGGGCGTCACGCGGGGGACAATAGGAGGAGGAGGCGGGGTCATCCACACACTCCTTAGTCCACCACGCACGCCCTCTTCCCTCCTGGGGATGTCGCCCGTGCCTCTCACACCGCCTACGCCGCCCACACCCTTCACCGACGCCCACGAGCTTAGTGAGACGGAGTGCGATAGGGACGTTCGCAGGAGCTACCTGGTGGTGGAGCGGGGCAGCACCATCAACGTGTAGGACACCAACTGACTTCATTAAACCTAGTTTGCGTAAGCACCTGTTGATCATAGTACACCCAGCTGGTAATTGCAACCATGAACAGCTGGCTACAGTACATCACACAGGTACCTAAACTCATCAACAGGTAGATACAGTACGTCCATCTGGAACCTACAACTACCAAATCGAATGATGTTGACTATGGTACCCAGCTGACCGTGTCTCAAAATATAGGTGAACTGGTGCTATACGCAGAGCTTAGCTGTGGCACTTCAACCTTTATCTTCGCTAAGCTAGACACTGAAATTTCGTTCTGGCATGGAAAGCTTAAACGTTTATCCTATAAAAAACATAGGAGTCGAAATATATGTCTTTATCTATATATCAACTTAACTATCTATCTTTCTATCTCTCTATTTATCTGTCTATCTGCCAATCTATCTATATAAATTGAATAGAAAAATGTCTTGAGAATGGTTCAAGTTGGCCCACATGGATCCGGTTTAGACCGGAGATGCTCCAGAGAATCTCAATTGGACGCTGCCACAACTCGGTACACAAGTCGCTCTTCCATAAAAATGGGCGTAAATCCATCACGGAGCAGAGGCAGGAAGGGCGCCTCTCATACTTGACGTTACAATAACTTTTCCCACCACAGCGTTGACAAATCTTGTTTTCGGGTGTGTACAGTTATACCTCATGATCTGCGTCTGTGGAGGAAGAAGAACCTGAATTACTGCTCTTTCCTGAACACAATAATAATCAAAGACTAATTGATGAAAAGTGACCAATGAAAATAGAACTCACTTTCCCAAACCAGTGAAAGAGTCCAGTGAAAATTAACGTCTTGTGCTCTCCTTCTGACTGAGAGATTACACAAGTGATATTCCTTGAGTAATTTTCTTGAGCTCTTTATTTAACCAAACATTGGCATAACATTTTACGATTATAACATAGATCATTTATTGTACATATATAAACCAAAAAATTTAAAATATTCTCGTCTCGGAAGCTTAAATGAGAAACTGAAGTTATATTGGGTGTTGTTATACTGTGACTGTGTGTTACTGATACAGATAATATAAGAAAAGTATGTGTCTTGTGCGAAAGGTGAAGCGTGTTGTGTGTTGGGCATTTGGTGACACCCATTACACCTCTGTACTTTCTACCCGTCGGCCATGCAGGAGAACAAAGAGAATAAATGTACTGAAAATAGTTTAGAAAAAAAGAGATATAAAGAAAAGTATTGTTGTGTGTAAATTATGGTACAGACAGAGAGTGTAAATAGTGTCATAACGGACGGACGGTAGAGTGTAGACAGTACCATAAAGGACGGATGGGAGAGTGTATACAGTAGACAGTGACAAAGACGGGCAGACGAGTGTGTCCTGATCGTTAACCAAAATAGAAAGACGTGAGTTTTTTTTCATATAGTTAAACCATTATATTGAACGTTGGAGTTTTTCATGTTCCACTTTATCATTTTTTTTCAGAATCCTGTTTATTAATTTGTTAAAAGTCTCTTACATGTGAAATATATACACTTTATATATAGAGAGAAAAATATCGCTGTGTACCTTTTTCCCCATAACTATCAATGTATAATATATTTCTACATAATAAAGAGGATTTTCATGTATACTGAGTCTGTTTGTTTAAAGGTGTCATAAAGGGAGAACAACTACAAAAAACATAGAAAATATAAATGAAATGGAAGTATAAATGGAAGAGCCGTATAAATAGGCATCTTAACCAATGACAATAATCTGAGACTGGTAAGTGCTCATAGCTTGTAATTGTCGGAAGGAAATTTACACTGAGAAGAATGAAGTTGATAATCTTTACTGCCAGGGAAGGACAGCTGGTAACGCAAGAGAAACAGCTGATTGTGGATAACTATTCATCAGTTAGTCCTCACCCCAGTCAGCTGTTAAAAATAAATAGACAATTGTAAAGAACAGCTGATTAACAGAGAGCGGACCGATAAAACTCTTTCTAATTCCTCAGATGTCATGATTAAAACTATCACTAATTGGCTGACTATATTCCTCTCTAAACAGCATTTAAATATAAATAAACAATAATTGTTTGTTTCCCAAGGTTGTTGTCAACTATTATTATTATTATATTATATTTTCGCCCACCAGGCCTTGACGTGGGTCATAAAATGACCTGTGCCCGGGTGGGCGAATGCCCGTAAAAAAAAAAAAAAATAGCCATGTGCAGTCACCAAAAAAGTGACGGCCCAATTTGAACAACCATGATTGTTGGTAATTGAGGAGTCATATCTCCATAACAGCTCACTTACGACAGAACTGAAGGTCCGATTTGTTTTAAACAACACAAAATACACTAGTAAACCTATTTTTGTTAGTACTCGTTGTCAACAGAGCTAACAGAGAACCAGTACATGCCCACAGTGCCTAACAGAGACATAACCGACTTCTCAAGTGGCTAATAGGCCGATCAGTGGCGAGGAGGATAAAATAAAATAAAGTACACTAAAGTAAAATAATTCTTATAACGTGTAACCATAATTAAAATATACAGATGTCCTCCCGGGTATGAGTTTCATTTTCTTTTATTGCAACACAGAAAATGGATGTAAATAAACATTTTCATGAACGAGTTTAAATACGAGACTTAAATAACTTTGAATGAGGTTAAATGTGTTACCGTAGTATTACTTTAATTAAATGGCTAATAATAACAATAACAATAATAATAACATAGGTCATCTGTGAGGGAAATGTCATTGAAGAAAAGTATCTTAGAATTGTCTAAACTATTGATTCCAAAGATAAAATTCTCACGATTCAGTTGGTGGTAATGATGATAAAGATAATTATAATAATAATGATAATTATAATAATAATATTAATATTGTTATTGTTATTATTATTACCTGTAGTAGTAATTTATCATAACATAAAAATGAATTAATTCAGTTTATTAGCAAGTCCTTAAGTGTCAGTGCACTGTTGTAGGGGTATCGAGATATTAATGTTGTCTAGCACTCAGGATGGAAGGAAACTCTAATGTGGTTTTCTTGTATAATATATAAGTTATATGATAGACAGTCTGGTGCTGGAGGTGCCGTGTGGTGAGGAGCTGGTCAATAGAGACGTTCGGTGAGTAGCTTGGTGAAGGAGGAAGATGTGCAGGAGCTTCGTTAGAGAAGATGTTGCCTGTTGCTGGCCTCCTGATTGAATGAATGCTGGACAGCTAGGAGCTTGCTGGAGGAGATGTTGCTTGTTCAGGAAAATGGGCAGAATGAGTTGGTTGGTGAGGAAGCTCAGAAGACAGCTGGTGGGTCGCCATGCTCGCTGGCGGGAGCGAGGACCGCCAGGCAGGCGAGGAGAAGCGAGGGGCCGCCAGGCAGCGGCGGAGGAGGAGGTGTTGCTAGTTCAAGAAGAATGGTCAGAATCAATCTCAATGGAGAGACAGAGCTTATATACCCAGCAGCCGCTATGAGTCATGTTGGGAAAACCCGAGAAGTCGCCGGCCTTTTGGCTCGGTTGCTAGGATACGGCGGGCATTGGAATGCAGATACGCTTGGTTGCTAGGGAGGCGGTAGCAGGTGGTGTGCAGCTACGCAGTTTGTAGGGGAGACGTCCACTACAATACTCCCCCTTCCCTCCAGGCGGTGTAGGAGACTTGTTGATTGTAGAGTTGCTTAGCACATGTGAGGCAGACCGGGCGGTGCATGCCTCATGTGAGACGACGGCGATGGCGTGATGAGCCGATCGCTGAAATACAACTGTCTAGATACACACTATCTGTGGGAGAAGGGAGAAAAAGGGTGTGTGGAGGCGATGAATGGTGTGCTTCCCTCACGACAGGTACAGGGTAGTCAGATGCGCCTGCTGGGGTGTGTGTGGGCCTGGGTCAGGAGCAGGGGCTGCGTCAGCAGAAGCGGATTAGGGCTCGTGACAGCAGCTGAGTCCAGCAAGATGGCCAGATGACCTCAGCGACTGTTCTGTACTGTCAACCATCGCAGTCACCACCTTCATGACTACCACCTTATTAAGCACAAATTTATTTCTACAATTAAGAAAACATTTAAAAGTACAGTAAAGTAATATTTAAGAACGTGTAAGTAAGCCTCGAGTCAAGCCACACAGATTAAAAAAGGTAGAAATATTGTGTAATGGTTGGCACTTGTATCGAGAAAGAGAATCTAATGTTGGCTCATTATACAATATATGTTCATAACCAAATAAACACTGAATAAGTTTGACATCTTTTATACTCCGATTTTGGAAAAGTAGAATAATAAGGATCTTGTAAACTGAACTTTAAACCTGAAGCTGGTGTAAAGTATTGTATATGGATCCTCTGTGATGCCAACATGACAGCCTATGTATACTTATCACTAATTGACATCCAAGTGCCAGCCTATGTAGAACTGTTACAAACTAATGCCCATGTAGTGACCTATTGGGTATGCAAAACTAAAAAGATGACCACATGACTGTACCTACAGTTGGCATTAAAATATCCATTTCAGTGTAGTTATTACAAGGTGTACACCATCAAAAATGCATCTATATGGTGGTGTTAGACAATAACACCTCGGACGAAGGATTTTGACACCCAGACAACAGGTGTCAGTGTTCATTTTGAAATTCATCGGCCATGTCCATAAAGATACATTTTTGATTCTGTATACATATTTTGAAAGTAATATATACATAGTACATGAAAGTAAAGTACAGTAGGGATTTTACTTACGGAATGTTGACAGTCTGGACACTGCACACCAATTGTTGAATGGAAGTCCGTTTTGCCTGAAATTTAAAGGAAATCATTGTAAAATTATAAATTTAATATGTACAACACACAATGTAAATTAACTTAGTTGTACAAAAGCTAAAGACTTTGAAATCGAATGGTTATGTTTAAAGTTGTAACGCTTTGAAATGAAATATTGATATTTGACCTAAAGTACCGTGGGTGGTAGTGTGTGTGTGTATCTCAAACTGTCCTGGGGCCCAAAATCCAGCCTGGGACAGATGTGAGAAGAGTTGAAAGGTGTATACCGAGTAAATATCATACCCACTCGCCCACCTACCTACCTGTTCACTCACTCACTCCCTCACTATTCACACACCTGCCCAAAAGGCTAGTAAATTGACAAGTGGTGGAAGTGATGAATACTAAACAGACTTGGTCACTCGGATAAATTTAGAAATACTCCTATATTGGTCTCTACTGTACCAGGTCAAAATTATTCACAAAGTACAAGACTGCCATTATAAGATCAAATTATCTTGTGTAGGACCAAAACCTGGCTTAAGATAGACAATCCTTAAGGTCTATTGTAATAAACTAACCTTAAGTGGTGTACATTATAAACGTTGAATTAGGAAATACTTGTTAGATTATGAAATCGTGATGACGCCTCCATCACAATGTTTCTGCCAAGAAATAGTTACTACAGTGGTAATGTGCTTATCTCGAGGTATGCGCAGAAGAATGTTATCTAGTGTGACCTTCCCAACCATTGCAAGTTCTGATTTCCTCCTACACTAATAATAGATAATGAAGGTTTTAAATGATAACATAAGACTACCTGAATGTCCAGTAAACTTAAGTACCTACAGTAGACAGCGCAGGTATAACCCAAAGAACATTAAGGCGATTTGACAAGTTATATTGTAATCTTTGTGTCAAACTTCTGGACTATTATTGCGAACTAACATGTAATGTATAATAAAAATAAACTGCAAAAATCCTTTTATTTTTCAATATTTCCTGTATACAAAACCTAATATACTGTGTACTACATGGTTAGCCTTGCAATATTAAACATGGTCTCAAAACATGCAGATACCATTAAGTGGCAGTACCTGTATACGTAAATAATTCATTTTCCGATACTATCCATCAATAAAAGCCAAAATATTACATTGCTGGCCTTGATAAATTTACGGTAAACAGTCTTTTTGATAAAATCTAAGATACTGTACCTTGTATTATAAATTGGTCTGAAAACGAAGAGTTTATGAAAGTGGTGATCATGCAACACTGCAGTAGCCCTCCTCCTTCATCCGGGCTGGGGACCGGCATGTTCAGTTGAACAAGGCGGAGTTACTACTGTGTACCTACTTCTAACTATGGTGCTGTTACTATTACAAGTTTTACCTTTACCACCTCCACGAAGCACCGTGTTGTGGGTCCACAGGAACTCACACAAACCTGGAATAAAAAACGTTTTAGACACTGTTCATAAATTCCTTACATATAGACATCACATACTGTCGAGAGTACTTTACCTGTCTGGTGGGGTTCTTGTTCTGCCAGACGTTCGCCTCAAACATTCACCTGAGCCAACCAGCAGTCCAACTGAGCCAACCAGCAGTCCAACTGAGCCAACCAGCAGTTCACCTCAGACAGCCACACAATCTGAAAGATTTAAAAAGACCCTCAGGGTGTGTGGATGAGAGGTAGGGCTTGTGGACGGGAGGGAGGGCGTTTGGATGGGAGGGAGGGCGTTTGGATGGGAGGGAGGGCGTTTGGATGGGAGGGAGGGCGTGTGGATGGGAGGACCTCCCATCCACACACACATTCCCTTCCACCCATACACCCATCCTCCTACCCACCCAACTCTCTCACCCAGTCAACCCTCCCACCTACCC